TTACAAGCATGATACATCTTATCTATTTTTCAGGACAATGCCTGGTGAGAGCCACTACAGAGGATCATAGCCATCGTTGGAATTTTGAAAGGACGTGGGTGAATATCAATCTGCCAAATGAACTTTTTTAGCATGCACATTCACATCTGTATATTAATACTGATTATATATTAACTTTGTTTGTCACTGGAAAGAACTTAGCTTCTGAACTAAGAACAAAGAACTTTTTGACTGAAGGACTTGACCGTATTTTATGTGCATTTTAGCCTATGTGCATTTTAAAGTAAACCCCATGCCGTAATGGAAAAAGTATGTACATATATTGGCCAGTTGCTTGTAATTGCTATCAAATATTGTTTACATAAAATAAACATGTGTATTTTTACATATATTGGAGAAATGCTTGTAATTACTGTCTATTAATGTGTATATAAAGTTAACCCATACATTGAGTAAATGTCATGTTGATATATTGGAAAGTTGATTTTAATTAGTATAAAGCAATGTTTATACAAAGTATACCTCATACATTGATGTTAAAAGTATATAGAAGGTAAAGCCCCATACATTAAAGGTACAAATATGTAGAAATATTGGAGAGTTGCCTGTAATTATTGTCAAATAATGTTTATATAAAGTAAACCCCCTTATTTAAATGGTAAACATGTAGAAATATTGGAGAGTTGCTTGTTATTACTGTCAAATAATCTTTATATAAAGTAGCACACTGTATTTAAATGGTACAAATATGTAGAAATATTGGAGAGTTGCTTGTTATTACTGTCAAATAATCTTTATATAAAGTAAACCTGCATACATTAATGGTAAAAGCTTGTAAATTTATTGGAGATGTGTCTGTAATTACTGTCAAATAATGTTTTAATAAAGCAATAACTGTTAAAAATATGTTTCTGAAACTTAATATCACAAGATCTTGTTTTTTTGTACAGGATAAAACCAATATTTAACAGGAATTTACTGTAAATAGATTGAATAATGACATAAAATAAAAGTTTAAATCGATCAATATACTGGTATTAGGCTTTAAATTAGGGTATCTGAAGGTAATTATACAACATTTTCTGTGTGTTTTACATAGAAAAGTCTTTACTTTGACAAGGAGTTCTTGTAGATGGATTGGATTATCCTAAAAATATACCAAATAATACTGTATTAAAACAGAAGTCTTTGTTTTAATTATGTAATTTTAAGGTATTTCTGCAATATTTGTAAGTTTTTATACAGATTTATACATTCGTTTAACATTCAACAGACATTTTTTTATGAGATTTTATTTTTTTTCTACAGCAGTTTGACTGTAAAAATACAGAAAATATTTACGGTAAATATCCGTTTTCAAAAAACAACATTTTTCTGTAAAATAATTTAAGTTTTTTTACTGTAATTTGACGGTAAGTGGTTGGCAACTTTGCTGCCAGACTTTTTACCGTTATTTTACGAAATTTTTTTTTACAGTGTATTACCATTACTGGAAAAACCCTGAGAGAACCTTTCCAGAACATTAGCTGAGTTCTGAGATCAACATTCCCTGATCGTATGGGCTTTCGCACCGGAGGAACCTTATCCTGGTTCCTGTAGAACTATTGGCGGAAGTTCACGGATTTTGGCGTGTTCGCACAGCAGGAACTATAGGAACGGTTTTAGGAACTCCTTTTGGAGGAACTAATTTAGCTCCTACTTCAGTGTAGGGTCTAAACCAGCACTATAGACGGGTTTCTTGTATACTTGTCTACAAAACTGGATGCGCACACACTCAGGGGGCAAAACCGCTAACAGGTGTTCTGCCGAGTTCTGCACGCACCTCACGAGAGGCAACAGTCATTTAGCCTACAACATCTGTTCTGCCCAATTATTGATCACCATTAATTAAGCCCACAAATAATATTATATCGTTTTTAAAAAGTACTTGGGGGTGTATGCAATTATTGTCATGTAACGTTAGAACTCGGCTTAACACCTAGAAGACTGTAAGGCACTTAATTGTAATTAACAAAGATGTCACATTAATTGTGAATTCCTGTTGACTCAATAATAAACTGCCATTTTAGAGTTGGATCTGTTGCGTTTCATTTGCATATTAATGTAACATTATCGAAAACGTTAGCTAACAACAGTTGACTATTAGGCTAAGTTATAATGATAGTCATCAGGGACCAGTTGCATAAACATAGCCATTATGCTAAGGCAGTGTCTTAAGAACTAGTATGACCAACTAGCAGTTAGTTAGGGGTAATCAGTCTTACTGTTCGGTATCAAATTAGACCAATGTACGTTTCTATGTAACTAACTTAAAAAAGTTATGAACAGTCTTGAAGAAAAAAATTGGATGACTAAATTGTAAGACTAGTCTTAGCAGTTTATGCAACTCGCCCCAGATCTCTGAATTAAATTGTCCAACTAAGTTTGCTAATCATAAAAACATGACATACCCTATGAATTCATGAACTTTGTTGGTTTTTGAGCCTTTCTATCTTAAATGTGTTTACGACAAGGCTATGTCACGACCTGGCACATTTGAAGGAAATTTTATACTGTAAACATACTGTATTATACATGAGACGTGTGACAGCTAGCTAGGTGTGTGACAGTGAGGAAATGGCTAGCATCAATTACTTTGGAAGCCGAGGTAGCGCCGATTATATTAAGACATTAACTCTCAGTAACGGCGAGACATTACCAGATCACAACACCATTTCAGACCACGAATGGATCACAGATATGTCCAAGTGGATATGAAAAAAAAAAAAGAGGTTATATTAATTATAATGAATAAATATTACATTTATAGTGTATTCAAGTTATTAATATTTTATTTTCTTATTTTATTTTAAATGATTTAATTATTAAAATCAATGTACATTAAATGAATATATTAAATATAATATAATATTTTACTGCTACATTAAATTATTATATATAAAATATATATAAAATAGAAATTATTTAATAACATATGATATGTTTGATATTGTATTTGATAATTAATAATAAAATAAAAGGTCCATATTATATAGAATAAGTTTTATATTAATAATATTTATATTAATAATGCAATTGTATTATTAATGGTTTTTTCTTTTAATTATTTTAATTTAAAATGTTTTAATTATTAATAGTAATGTACATTAAATGAATATATTAAATATAATTTTTTACTGCTACATTAAATTATTAACATTCTTAAAAAATAAAGGATTTATTTGATTACTAATATTTAATAGCTAGAAATAAATAAATAAATAAATAAATAAAGGTCTATAAAATATGATAGATATTCTAACATGATAGATATAGAATAAGGTATATAGAATAAAATATATATATATATAAATTATATGTATAAAAGCTCTGTGTCATCTCGGTTTCTGCTAGATATGCTGTAAAGATCTGCTTTCTGCCCCCTAGTCGCGCGCGCATCTCTGTGAAATTGTTGCAAAGAAATCCGTCTATAGGAACTGCCAGTCATGTTAGTGTTCGCTGATTGGCCGAACGCAAGCGAAACACCAGCACCCACCATTAAAAAAAAAAGCTGTGTAAACTCACAGATTATAGCCTATCTACAGTATTTACTCCAGAAACTAACTCTACGAACATGGAACACAGTGATAGATGGGACTCTTAACCTTTACGCTGAGAAGAAAATCCAATGCAACTTTGAGGAGATCAAGCGAAACATGATAATGTATTTCTGCTCAGCTTGCAACACTGGACATCAACCACAGGGCATATACACTAATAACTTCATGTCTACTTTCTATGTATAACAGTTCTATATAATAACATAAATAGACAGGGCTTTTAAACAGATTGTAAACTAAAAACGGAGAATGCGAGTGGACACGCACCGTAATAAGGGAACCATTAGTTCTCGGGGAATTACAGTTTCTACAGCTAGGCCTACCCAGGCAGTGTGAAAGCCCCTGGTGTAGAGAAGATGCCATTGCTAACATTTAAAAAATGCAACATAATCAGGGATTCAACAATGTCAATAGTACAGACTGAATTGCAGTCTAGTGAATTGCAGATATATAGTCTGTGAAGAGCACTAACATCTTGCAATATGACATTTTTAGGCCAAAATGCCAGAGAGAGAGAGAGAGAGAGAGAGAGAGAGAGAGAGAGAGAGAGATGCAACAGAAGAACTTCTGTTGCATTGCTCTTGATTGCTGATCGTTCACTCACCACATGCATAATTTGGATTAAAACAAAATCGTAAAACTAAGGGGCTGTTTACACGACACCGTTTTCAACTAAAAACTAAAAACTTTTAATGCGTTTTGGCAATTAATTTACACGAGACCGGCATAACACAGTGGGTTATATCTTAATGAACGTAAACAAAGAAAACGTTTGTACAGTAGGGCAGGCCATATTGGACCGCATGCATTCGGTCTTAAAGGAACAGCAGCTAATAAACCTGCTGCTGTTTTTTTTTTTACTGATAATCAAAATACAAAAGACCAAGTAATCCCTCACTGCTATCAAATTAACTACTTTTGTAAGTTTATAAAGATTCATCTATATTTCATTTCTACAGTGATTCTACTGCACATAATCAGGTCCCAAATCAGGACAAATTGAGACTTTGGCGGCTTCACTTTTCACCAGTGAAGGGCTGTTGTCCATCTTTTTTTACAGTCTATGGATGAAACTCAATATTTAGTAAATTTCTTTTGTATGTTTGTATGTTATCAAGGCAAACATGTCAATTATACTTGAGGTAGCTTCGGTGATTATCATCACGACTTTCTCCTGTTCTGAATGCACATGTAAAAGTTTTGTTCTAAACACAATTAAAGGAGCCTTTTCACATTTCCACGAAAAAGTAAACTAATATGGCATCATGACATTATTTTGCTGAAAGTCAGAAAATCATCTTCCATTTCCTTTTTCTTAACTTTCTCATCTCTCTTAATGTTCCTTTTCAGTGACACTATTAAAATAATAATGTTACTATGGAATCTCATCATCAGCTGCGATCAGTGACCCATCAGTCTGACCAGTGGACGTCCCGTTAGCTCCTGTGGATTGCCAGTCGGTTGAAGGGACATCAGATCTCCTGAAAGTCAGAAACAGATTCACAGAAGGTAAAGCAAATGTTCAGGATTGATGATTCAGTTTCACAAACACAAAACAGTGTTTTTCTCTCTGATGTTTGCTGAATGTAAAGACCCTGTTCTTCATTCTGAAGTAAAACACCACAAGATCAGCGCTCTCTTAAAGTGACACTTCTCCAATTTTCAACTTGCTTTGTATTTTTATAATGACGGTAGTATATGTAATTGAACAAAGTTTACTCGTTCTCCAAGTCGACACTATTATGACTACAAGTTTGCTAAGAAGTGTTTCCTCCTAAAGCAAGGCCGGTAAGTGTATCCATCAGACTGGTGTGAGTGGCCTTGGACAGCAACATGCCCAGTGCATTATGGGTCTTGAAGTTTTTCTACCGATTTGGCAAAATGGAAAACAACAGCATTTTTTCTTCTGTTTTCTCTAGTCACGTGGCACCCATTTAAAAAAAGTTTTTCACCTTTCTACGGTATAGACGGCAAGATTTTATTGAAAGCCCATTTCGCCATCATCATTGGTGTTTCTATGTAATGATTTCTGAATGAAACCAATCATGGTTTCAGATAGAAAACTTCGAACAGATAAACACCACTTACAGATCTCCATCTGTTATAATCGTTCTGTCTTCAAAAACTGAATTTAAGTGCTCACAGTATCTCACCTGATCATGGCGCGCTGTCCAGTTTCCTGTTTAAACAACAAACTCTTACGTTGGTCAATTAAAATTACAATATGTACTTTTACAAGACTCTTTATGCACAATAAATCTAATATTTTGGAAGATCAGCTCAGCTGTATGTAATACTTGCCTGTTTGTTTTGATCTGTGGTGACAGTAAATCCCAGCAGCGACTGCAGCCACAAACAGAACAACAGCACATATTCCTCCTATAGCAGCTGAAGATAAACCTGAACCTGGAGGAGCTAAAGACACACACTATTACTAGAGATCAACTCTACCAATCCACCTTATTTTTCAACGCAGAAGTAATGCGTTTTCTCTGAATGTGTGAGGCTTCTGATTTATCATCTGCTATAGGGAATCAACGAGAAGAATATCAAACTGCAGTAAACTGTAAAACGGTTTGCGCTACAAACCAGCGTGTTTCTAATTAAGACAGTACATCAAAATAATATGGTTAGAAACACCAGGTTGAAACATTAAGGAGCATAATGATCTGTTTTAAACCGCTAAAAATAACTGGAAGAGAATGACACTGGAAGTCAGACACATTAAAATTACAAATGGCCGCACTCGTTCTTACCTGAAAAATAAGGTGGATACTTTTGTCTGACATTTACACCTGTACATATGGAGTCCAAAATCACTTTTTAAACAGGCCACAATGAAAACATTTACTGTTTGGATTTAAAAATAGTACATTTTGAAACTGCTTAAGGCAAAATGCATTTAATAATTAAACGAGACTCACCAGTGACAGAAACACTGAAGCTGTTAATGATGCTGAATCTGCTGTTGCTGATCTGTAGTTTATATTCTCCAGAGTCTGTGTTTCTGGTGTCTGTGATGGTCAGAGATCCAGTCTGATGATCCAGCTTCAGTCTGTCTCTGAATCTCTCAGTGTCTTTATTACACTGAACATCTGTACAGATCTTACTGAGATCTCTATTGATTTCAGCGATGATAATCTCATTAATATACCATGTTATTGAATCATTCAGTTTTCTCATTACACCACTGTATAAAGTGACAGATTCTCCCTCCATCACTGACTTTCTCTTCACTTTATCTCGTTCAGCAGCAGAAACACCTGAAACACAAACCAACAGATGATTGGAGGATCTTTTTGGGGGGAAAAGACACACAACAGAACTGTTTTCTTTTCCCTGAGAACTGTGGATATGAAAGTGATAAAACATTCTCTCTTGACTTTCAGTCTGAAAAGCAAAATGTATCCACATTTTGTGCCAAAAGCTGTACTCAAGTAGAAGTAATAATGTTATTAATACTTGATTAAGAATAAAATAAAAAAAGTATCCAATGAACAGACTACACATAGCGAGATACTACAGTAGTCAACATTTGAAGTGGATCAAAGCCTTTCAGAGAGAGAGAATCTAAATTAATGTACAGGTAAAGAGAAAAAACACCTCTGAATGTCAGCAAAAATATCCCTAAACATATTAATGACGAGATTTGAATGTACAAGATATGCATTTAAATATAATGACTCACCATATAAAATAACACTGAAGGTCTTTTCACTGTCGCTGCTGCCGCTGCTGATCTGTAGTTGATAAACTCCAGAGTCTGTGTTTCTGGTGTTCATGATGGTCAGAGATCCAGTCTGATGATCCAGCTTCAGTCTGTCTCTGAATCTCTCAGTGCCTTCATTACACTGAACATCTGTACAGATATTACTCTGATCTCTATTGATTTTAGCAATGCAAATGTCATTATAATACCATCTAATTCTGTCTTGTTGGTTTGTTTGAACACCAGTGTTTAGAGTGACTGAATCTCCCTCCATCACTGACACTTCATCTGTAACACCAGACGCACCTGAAGAAGAAATCAACAGTTCATTATAAGCAAAATAAAATAAAATAAAAAATAAAATAAAACCACAGGAAAGTGCTGTGAAAATGTTTTTTTTTTTTTGGGTAGATAAATATGTCTGGAACAGCAGAAGAACATCATTGAATCACACATTCACTCATCAAACAAACATACATGAGTCTTATTGACGAACTTATGCAACTTAATGACCATCATACAACACATCCTGATTCATAATTTGTCCCCCATCTTGTCAAGTACTTTCATACTGAAATTCATAACATTACCCATTATGAATATGTAATAGATGGATATTATCCATGAAATGTTTTTACTTTGTACTTTATTAAAAAGTTGTTATTCTCTAACACATTAATATACAAGACATTTATTGTTTTTATTTTTCCAGGTAAAGAAAAAAATACACATCTGAATATCACTGGAAAAATATCAGTAAAACAATAATGATGTGATTTTAAGGTAGGGTGGGCAATTTCGGAGAGTTTAGCAATAGCGAGTTAGCTTTGAAAGCACGAGATCCCACCCTCCCTTCCCAGAGTCTTTAAAGCCACACCTCCTTTAAAATCACATGAACACACACAGCCAGAGCAGAGCGTCACAAGAGACGGCATTACATTACCTCGTGTCTCAAAGCACAGAACATTACAATAATAATAAATGTAAACAAACAACAGAGCTCTAGTCTTAACACATGACTGCTGCAGATTAATTTTGTCGTTGATTGTGTTGACATAGAAACACATAAATCCGAGTCTGAGGACGTGAACGGCTTTTGTCATTAATTTTCCAGCATCTCTTGCATATTTAAAACCTTTCCAGCAGTGACTATAATTTTGAGATCCAGATTTTCACACTACGGACGACTGATGGACTCAAACGCAACTATTACAAAAACTGGAACCATTCATTAATGCTCAAGAAAGAAACAATGCATAAAGAGCCCTTTTGAATTGGGTGATCGGGGAAAACAGTACTTGTTTTGTCTCCTGGGAAACATGCAAATACACGTAGTTTATGAAGGGCAGTACTGAATAAAAAAAAGAAGAAGATATTTTAACTAAATAAAATGTTCAAAAGTTTACACCCCCAGCTCTTTTTTTTCCATTTTGAATGAAGAAAACAAAAGCATACAATAAACAACAGCATAATCTTCAGATATTTAAGGGGGTTTCCTGCTGGACTAACAGGGACTTACTTCACTGCTCACATCACTTATGTTACATAAGTGTATAAGGAGAACAATAGAAGCAGTTAAACCAGGAGCCAGGAGAACAATAGAATAGAAGCAGTTAAACCAACAAAAGAACAACACTAGTGTTCTCCTGGCTTCACTGCTTCTATTGTTCTCCTGGCTAAAAAAGCGTTTGTTAAATAAATAAATGTAAAAATAGATGAACATTACCCATAGAATATTGCTACATTGAAGTTGTTTTTCTACCAAATATGATGTTTTAATTTACATTTTCTATGCATTTGCCAGCAGTTTTTATCCAAAAACGACTCTCTATGCAATTGCTTGCATTCAAGGTACATTTGATCAGTATGCAACATTTACTCACGCTATGATGCCATGTAGTTAAAACACGAATGACACCTATTTACAATCATAGTAATGTCAAGTGACGTCACACTTGTGATACACGAAGTGCATTATGGGTGTAGCCGCCATTTGTAAGGTATCGATGCTGGAGAATTGTGTTTTTCATTCTTTTTTTCAAACTAAACCATCCTTAACATGACATTATCATCATCATCAATACATCAAACCTATCTTTGCTGTTACTACTGTGTCCATCGGTGGGAATGCAAATAAATCCTGTACACAGCCGTTGGTGAAATGCCCGTGGGTTTTAAGAGATTTATAGTTTTTTTAATTGTTCACTGGTATATGCGCTTACCATAAACAAGATAGTTGACAATGTCCAAGTATGAGGATGAGGAAAGCAATGAGGGATCAGCACTCCAACTCACTGCAGTCAGCTAATATATGGATCTATGTTCTGAATGGATGACAATTTCTCCAAATAACGGTACCTGCCATATTTATCGAGTTTATTGCGGTACGGCATTTTCTCAGTTTTCTTGCGCTTCTCCAGTTTTGCGAGTTATTTACTTGTTATCTCTACTCTTGTAATCTCTTCAATGCTCACAGTCAGTAGCGATACCGCAAAAATGGCGCAGCGGTGACGTCACACACAACAAGGGGGTAATCCATCGCCCGGAAGTTGAATCCGGCCGCGTACCGCCATATTGTAGCAGAACTTCACTTGCGTTAGCATTCCATTGACTCCCATTCATTTTGGCGTCACTTTGACTGCGAATAACTTTACATCTGAGGCGTTTAAAGACTCCATTTGTCCATTATTTATTTCTAAAGAAACACGACAATGTATAAAGGGCTCCATTACCCATTATGGCCCCGTAGAAACAGTTTTTGTAAAAATAGGCTAACGATTGCGTCATAACCACTCGACTCTCTGTCGCACTGTAGAGAAATTACCGTACCCTTATACTCTCTATGGTACAGACAGGAGGCGTACTGGCGTTACAATTTAAAATAAATACTATACAAAATAATTAATCAGAGATACGTACTCCTGCTCACTCACGCCAAAGAACTCTTTGCTCAAGCTTGCCGTCTCTGCAAGATTAACGTTGGCAGTTTGCACGCACAGCTACTAGAAGATTTACATCTGTCAGACAGGTTGCCACGTCATCAAGCTTAGCACGTCAAAACTCGGTTTGAGTCTGCGCGGCAGGAACGGAAGTGCTAAAAAATCGCCAAAAATGGGCTTCACTTGTGTCAATTGAGTTCCAATGAGATGGCTCTGTCCACTTCTTATACTGTCTATGGTCACACACAACAAACTCACGCGTCTGACAAAGACCGATATGTGATCAACTTGCATTGTATTTGAGTTAAAGTTCAAACTTGATGAACCCCTTCATTGTTAACGTACGTGTCTGAAACACTGCCAGCGGGATCATTAAACGGGACTTGTTTGCCTGAGCTCACAACAGGTTTGTCAAGCGAATACGCAAATATCTTTGCGAGGGAACGCAAGATTTAAATAAATAAATAAATAAAATTCTCCCATCCAATTTTTCCCCCACCACCACCATGCAGTCCGTAATAACACACATCGCAAAATACAAACGCATTTCTGTGGAATTTATAACAATGAGATACAAACTATCACTTTCGTTTTTACCGTCGGCCGGAAGAGAGATTTTACCTTAAAAAGTCTATATGGTCCAGTAAACCCCAGATCAATAAGAGCCAAATAAAGATGCTTCATATTCGACACATTTCCTTAAACATCCAGTTTCCCTGCGTCCCAATGTCCATATACGATCCTAAATACATGTCAGATTAAAATAAGTGTCTCAAAGCATGCTTTAAAATGTCTGGGCGGATCGATGCTGTACGTAGGCCTATCGATACTTTCTATACTGACGTGATATCTTCTTCTTTGTTGCGTTTTCTGGCGGGCGGCACCTATGGGCGGCACCAGCTTTATGATGCATTACCGCCCTGACGTGGTATAGAAAAGGATCGATCCTCATATATAAATAGGCTATCGATCCAAATGTGTGTGTGTGTGTGTGTGTGTGTGTTTTTTTTTTTTTTTACCAGTAATTTTTATTATTTAAGCACGCAATTCAGTACGTAAAATAAACGTGTAAGTGGAAAAATAAGCGAATGTTAGCGAATAATTGTGTAGGATAGAACTATTTATCCTAGTCATCTGGATACAAGACGAAAACAATCAATCACCGAGAGCGTTCGATGCTGGTGCTTCGCTGAGCTCGCAGAAGCTCGTGAGCTCGTGCGTTTGGGAAATGAAGTCTTGCTTAGATGACAGAGAAACAATCGGGAGTTATTTCGCAATAAACAAACTAAACGTGTACATAACGGTTCAAATTGTTGACGTCAGTAAGATTTTTAAATAAAATTAATATTTTTATTCAAGGATCGATGCATTAAATTGATCAAAAGTGACAGTCAAGGGTTTTACACTGTTAAAAAAATATCTATTTCATATAAATGCTGTTCTTTCAACTTTGTTCATCAAATAATTCTGCAAAAAATGTATCATGGTTTCCACAAAAATATGAAATTGTTTTAAACATTGATAATAATAAGAAATGTTTCTTGAGCAGCAAATCAGCATATTAAAATGAATTCTCATCATGAAGGATCATGAGTAATGATGCTGAAAATTCAGCTTTGATCAGGAATAAATTACAGTTTACTATGACAAAACAGATAGCCTATGCTAAATTGTAACAATATTACAGTTTTTTTTACTGTATTTATCAAATAAATGCAGAAGAGAATTAAAAATCTTACAGACCCCACACTTTTGAACAGTTGGCTAATGTACAATAGTGCCTTTACTATAATTAGGGTAGTTCGGAAAAAGTCACTGACTAATTACAGGTGAGAGCACTTAATCAGAAAATATTTAGTGGTCATGAAAACGTATTCAGATTTAGCATATTAATGATGTATTCACCTCATAAATCATGACACACTGCTCTAGCACAGGAAAGTGCATCTAAGTTCAAGTGCATGCTTTTAAAGTTACAAAGTATTGGTATCGGTATAGATATCGACGATATTTGCCCTGTAATTACATTTACATTTAGTCATTAGCAGACGCTTTTATCCAAAGCGACTTACAACTGGGGACTAAAGCAATCGAGTCATCGTGAAGAAGCAAAAACAACGCAGGAAGTGTTCAAAATACAAAGTTCAGCCATTGCTCAGAGTATCAATAATCAGACAAGGGAGGATTTAAAGGAGAGGAATTAATATTTTTTTATTTTGTTATGTTAAGTACTCACGGAAGAGATTAGTTGTCTTTTGAATGCTGTCAGGGATTCTGCATTCCGGATGAGGGTGGGCAGGTCATTCCACCAGCATGGCACCGTGAATGAGAATGTTCTGGAGAGTGATTTTGTGCCTCGACCTACCTGTGAGATAGGACTCAAACCAGTTGAGGGAGGTTCCAGTGATGCCCAGTGATGAGAGGGTGGACAGCAGGATCTGATGGTTCACAGTGTCGAAGGCAGCAGACAGATCCAGGAGAATGAGAACTGATGATTTGGAAGCAGCTTTTGCAATCCGTAGTGCCTCTGTGACCGACAGTAGTGCAGTCTCGGTACGTGCCCTTTCTTGAAACCAGATTGGTTTCTAGCTGGTTGGTCAGAGACAGGAAAGATGACACTTGGTTGAAAGCAACTCGTTCAAGTATTTACTTGGT